AAATTTTACATTTTACAGTGCGCGCGAACGCCCCCCCACCCCTGCGCGCCCTCAGCGGGCCACGGTAAAATTATCAAAGGCTGACTGGTCCGCGGCGATAAAAAGGTTGGGGACCACTGTTCTATAGTATTCTCTATTGTACTCTACTCTACTGATACCTATTTTTTAAAGAAACATTGTGAAAAACTTCATCAAACTGAAAAAGGACTTCTGTGGCTCTCTGGTGGGTTTGGGGGTGCTTCCTCTCCTCCCTCTAAGGGTGAAACAGACTCAAGATTCCCTGCCTCATGAAATGTAGCTTTTGAGAAAACCAAAAGGGAGGTGGCCATGGGCAGAGCTGCTTGACCCTCTGTTGATGCGTTAGCAGGAGGAGAAAGTTGCTTCTCCTTTCCATTCTAGCTGGAATTCGGGCTGGTTCTGAGTCCAGAATCTACAGAGATTCCCAACCATCCAGGTGGTCCCTAAGGTGTTTATTTTTTTAAAATGCAACTGGACTTTCTTCTTTTTTTTCCTTGAAAACATTTCGCTTCTCATCCAAGAAGCTTTTTCAGATCTGGTGAAGCTTCTTGCATGAGGAGGGAAACATTTTCAAAGAAAAACACCAAGAAAGTCCAGTAGCCTTTTGGAAAAGCAACACAGAGATGCCTGAAACCCAATGCCCGACGCACAGCCGCTTCCTCTGCCCAGCCTCTCAGGACCACACAGGGGGCTGAAAGGGGAGATGGGGGTGGGAGCTGAGGGGCACCACAGTCAGCGGTTCCGAGCTAAGTGGGTTGCGGATGGGGACTTACAGGGCGAAGACTGACCTTCTGCTGGAGGCTCTGGGACCAGTGCCAGAGGGCTCGTGTGGTCTGGTGCTGCTCTTGCCGCCTGTCCGCCAGCTGTAGGCCCAGAAAGAAAGAGGGCCGAATGGCCACGTTGACCGCCAGCATCCACCAAAGCAGCCCTCGGGTGGCTGCAAGGCCAAAGGGGAAGGGGCCCTCCCTCCACACCCCAGGACACCTCCTCCACTTCTGGCCAGCCTCAGCCTCTTCCTGCCCTGGGTGGAAGGGAGCCAAAGTAGGGGGCCCACCTCCAAGCTCACCTGCACCTTCCACCAAGCAAAGGCGGCTGCAGAAAGTCTCCGGGCCAGCAGCTGCTCCCCTTGTCTCTGCAGGAGCTACAGAGTGGGGGGGGGGGAGCACAATCTGAAACCCCCTCTCCACCTGGAGAGGGGTGAGGGTTGCTACAGCTGCTTTTCCCAAATGCAGATGGTAATCTCAGCTTCATTCCCTCCCAGCCCCCAAATGGATCCCCCGGTGGAAGCCGAAACCCTAAGCCAGTGAAAAGGCCAGCTTTGACCAGAGAGGACCTCTCCCCTACACTCCCCTCCCCAAAAGAGGGGATCTCCTCCTCCTGGGAGGGGAACCGGCATCACGGGGTGCTCACCATGACCCTCAGGCGGCTGAGATGATCTTGCTTCCAGCTCTCCAGGCACCGGCTGAGCAGCTGCCTCCGGTGATGCTCAGCTGCCACAGTGAGCTGCCCCCTCTGATGGGCACTGCCAGCAGAAGCCCCCCTCCAGCGGAGAAACAGCCCCCGCAGCCTCCCTGCAGGGAGGAATGACGACTCATCTGCTGTGACAGCCCCCCACCCCTCCTCCCTCCTTGGCTAGGAAGGCTGTTAGAGCAGGGATGCTCAACCTTAGCAGTTTTAAGACTTGTGGCTTTCAGCTCCCAGAATTCCCCAGTCAGTCCTGTGGGGATTCTGGGAGTTGAAGTCTAAAAAGTCTTAAAGTTGTCAGGTTGGAAACCCCTGCACTAGAAACAGTATGGGAAGCCCCTGGTGGCCACTTCCAGGACTCTGCCCTGTGCCCAACTGGTGTCACCCCGCTGCCAGCTTAGCTATGGGGGGAAAGGAAAAGCAAGTGGGGGCTGGTGATCCAGTCCTTCCCTCCAGAAGCTTCATCAGTGTACAAGCCAAGCCCCAGAGCAGCCTCCGCTCATTGGGATGGGCTTGCCAAGGATTTCTGGGCCTGAGCATCAAGCATCACTTGAGCTGCCTCATGGATTCTGCCTCATGTCATCCAGCCCACTTAGTTTAATTAGCAAAGGAGGAAAACCCCTGGCTCATTTCTTCTGCCAAGAGTGGACTCTGCTGAGAACAAAGCGGCCACAGAGGAGACAGGCAGAATCTGTTGCCTTGGCCCAAAAATCGATGCAATTAACTCCCCCTGTTCCCTATTGTCCAATTACAAGTTCTCAGGTTGTTTTGGGAAGGGACCGATGCCTTTCCCATCTCCCCATTCCTTTGGCTGCCCTTGTGCTCCCCTCAGTCAGAACCGGCTCTGCTTCAAACACCCCCCCCCAGGCCCCTCTATTCCAATCTCTCCCCCTCCCACCGTTGCTGATGTCAAGCTGGCAAAAGATGCAATGCGAAGCTATGGCGACCATCATTGAAGGCAGATGTTTTTCTCCTGGGGTGTCTCCTATTAGGCCAACACAGCAGCTGTGAACCAGATGTTCCAGAGGTGCTTTCCCAAAAGGCAACTGGACTTTCTTGATTTTTTTCCTTAAAAAATGTTTCGCTTCTCATCCAAGAAGCTTCTTCAGTTCTACTGAAGTTCTACAGCTCCCTGGATGACAAGCAAAATATTTCCAGGGAAGCAAACTAAAAAAGTCCAGATGTCTTTTGGAAAATCCCTTTGGGGCAACCATGACCCAGACGATGGAGACTCCTGACCCAGCTCCAAATTCCAGCTGGACTGAATGGAGACTCTCATTCTGCAAAGCCTTCAGCCACCACATCCTCCCCCCTCCCCCCACACACACAGAGGAGAAAACCTGTAATAAAGATAGACTTTAATCTCCTTGCTGGGCACTGGTGTCCCTCTACCCCTAGTAAGTGGGAGAGAGGGCACAACTGCCAAAAAGGTGCCACGGCTGAAAGAATTCCCCCTCACCTGTCTGCAAGTGCCTCTGGGCTTCCTTCACAGCCACTGCCACCTTTTCCCGGCTATTGGCCCGCAGCGCAGCCGCCTCCCTCCACTGGAAGACCACCTGCGCTGAGAAAACGGGGGGCTTGAATATTCCCAGGGCCACATTTTATCTTGTGGAGAGAAAGCATCCCAAGACCCTCACAACAGCTGCTGACTGAGCTTCCCTTCCTCTGGACTTCACCAAAACCCACCCCAAGTGGGGAGGGGGGGGGCAGATGGCCAGAAAGCCAAAGTTTCCCTTGCCTGGGATGCACTGTTCCCTCTAAGGTGCGCGGCCGCGCATGTGGCAAGAAAACCCCGTGCAGCAGTTTCTAACTGCCGCGCAGGGGCCTCACAAAATCTAGGGTTAGCACAGGCGCGGAGATGGCGGCAGGAGCTTACGCAGCACAGCTGGTCTCCTAGGACCTCCTAGGTGCCTGCTGCGCCGCACAAACTACCGTCAGTCGCCCTGTGTTCAGCAAAGCAAACGTGGGGAAGTCCTTTGCAGGCAGCTAGAACTGGCCGCCCGCAAAGGACCTCCCCAGACTTGTTTTGATGAGCACAGAGCGACTGACGGTAGTTTGTGCCGGCCGCGGCCGCTCAAACTAGCGTCAGTCGCCCCCGTGTTCAGCAAAGCAAGCCCGGGGAGGTCCTTTGTGGGCGGCCAATCCTAGCCGCTTGCGCCTGGCGCTGCGGCTGAAGTAAACCCCCAAAGCCCCTGCCGCCACTGGAATATCTGCTGCCGCCTCCTCCTCCTCCTCCT